GAGAAACACTGAGAGCGGGCGCACATGCTCGAGATGTGTTGTGGTCGTCATGACGACGAGCCACGCCAGAGCCCTCGCCGCCGCTGCCCGTGAGGCAACCCAAGGTGGGCCTAGAGCGAAAGGGCTGTGAGGAGGCCTCCACACGCTGCATTTCACTCCGACTCTCATCATGAGGCGCGTACACGCTCAGAGGATGAGTGGAGGTGTGTGCAGTGACATCCACATGAGGCGTTACCACGGCGCTCATGGGCTTATTGTGACCATGTGTAGGTGGCGTATCTCGGACAGAGGAATGCCGCGAGGTCTGTGGTTTAATAACCGAAAAGTTATAACCACCAGGCCTCTGCAGCGAACCCTGCTGCCTACTAATCAACAGATTGGAGGCAGCTGGCCCTGATTTTCTTCCTCTTGGGGAACCCTGGAAATAGCCTCTTTCAACAGGAGTTCCCGTAGCTCTGCTTGGAGCGCAAGCCACTGTTCTCGGGATGACAGGCGTGTCTCCTGTATCCCGTTGAACCAGGCCTCTGTAGCTAACCCTGCTGCCTACTAATCAACAGATTGGAGGCAGCTGGCGTAGTTACCGCGCTCTGCAGCTTATTAATCGATGGATTAAAATGCGCAGGCTTTTGTAACGAACCCTGCTGGCTATTAACCGATAGGTCATAGGCAGCTGGTTCACCCAGAGTGGGGGATATGTGAACCAACACATTTGAACTGATGACTCAGACAACATGTTGGGAAATAAGCTTATTTTATTTTCCTCACACTCCCTCCCAAACCGGCTCTGTTTCCTCGGCGGCTCTCGTGGAGCAGACGACGAACGGGAGTACCTCACTCCCTTTTGACCCCCCCTCTCTGCTGGTGGGGGGGCAGAGGCGCGGGACGGTGCCCCTGCCGCCGCCGACGGACGAGTCTGACGCCTCGGCTGCGGTTGCTGTGAGCGTCTCTCTGCCTGTCGCTGTGGCCGAGTTGGCTGCTGCTGCTGCCGCTGGTGCCGCTAAGGCTTCGCCGCAGCCGACGTGTCCGCTGCCGCCTTCATGGACTCGACCATGGCTAGAAACTGGGGTCCGAGCTGATCGGAGCGTCCAGCAAGACCTTCCTGGCTGGCTCTGTAACAGCCGCCTGTTGCAGCCAGAGGTGGCGCTGGATCTGCTCATCCATGCTGCGATCCTCGCCTGGGAGACAGCCACGGCTGCGCACAGCGTGAGTGCCATTCTGGCCGCCTTGCCGATCTCCTCCGCCTCCTCTGGTGCCACGGTGGTGGACCGCTCCACCAGCGTAACCACCGAGTTGGCCAGCAACGCGATGTTGTTTGCCGCTGCAGACGCCTGAAATGCACATTGGTGCGCCCGGTCAGCCTGGCGGGCGACATACTGGTCCTTGGGGGAGGCCAACATAGGGCGCCGTCCGGCGATCAAGTTGGCCTGCCTAACCCCAAAGAACGCCGTCAAGCTCGGCTCCAGAGCAGAGGTGGTTGGAAAACCCTCCTCTGTGAATCCCTCCACCTTAGTGAAGGGAACAAAGGTGGCCACCGGAGCGCTCAGGGTCCTCGGGTTCGCCGCTGCCCCCTCCTGGTACCTCCTTATGGCGGGGAAGCGCGGCCAGATCGGGTCACTCCTGCCCGTCTGAACCCGGGAAAATACTCCGGCCATGTCGTCCAGAGCCACCCTCTCCCGTCCTAGGGGAACGGGGAGACCTTTGCATGCTGCTGCTTTGCCGATTATCTCCGGCAGCTCCAGCATAATGCCACCCAACGCCGGTAGCGCCGTGGCCACGGAGAAGGGGACCGCGTGCTCGGCCGCCACACCCGTACCTCGCTCTGACCCCGTCTCCCCCGTCCAGGGGAGAGGGGGAGGGGAGAGCCGCATGGCGAGCCATGGAGGGAGACAGGGTAGGAGTCGTCCGACTCCTGCCCCGTACTCGGCTCCAGAGACAGGCTGTCGTCCCTGTTCTGGACGGGCCAATCGTCCTCCTCAGCCACAGCAGCTAGAGCGTCCGCTCTTCGCTTCTTGTCGGCTGACGGGAGACGGGCACAATGCGAACAAGCGACCTGCTGGCTGAGAGCCGCGTCCGCGTGCTCTGGCCCCAGGCAGGATTCGCATATCGCGTGTAAGTCATAGCTCATGATGTACCCCGTCTTACATGAGGGACAATCACGGACACAGTTGTTGTTCATGACTTGACTTTTCCTGTGCTTCATTACTGTGCTGGTTGCTGAAGAAAAGAGGGAGCAGATTGCCGGGTCCCCTTCCTACTTATACTGGAAGGAGGCCCGAGGGTGGGGCCCACCTAGCGGGTGGGCGTGGACTACAAGTGTTTTAGTGCTGCGCGGGGGCACAGAGGGATAACCCAATAGTGATAGCCTTAGAGGGCGAAGCCATATACAAAATAGAACATCAGGCTACAGCCGTTGTGTATTTTATTATATGAAGCACTAAATGGTCTTAGAAAAATATTGACTCTTTGTTTGTAGATATCTACTAAACTACAGCAAATAAAGAGTAGGCCTGTTATACTGAGTGATATATATTACACACACTGCTCTGCTTTCTGCACGGACCTCACAGCTGTTCTCACCGTAAACATTGCGTTGCGATGAAAGCAGTTACTAATATAATATCCAAGGGATGCATGCAGAGCTGTCATTGGCTGAGATAAGTCCGGCCGTGCGTCACGCCTCCACCGTTCCCGGAAATGCATCCGCGGAGGAGCCGTGGTGGATGCATCAGTGTGTCCTCGGTTAGAGCTCCTCCAGAGAGCATGCTCGATGCTCGGTCCTCGAAGTGCATTTAGAGAAATGAGATGTCCTTCAAAATGGCATTTCCGGGTCACTACCGGAGGACCGAGGAGTCGAGGAGGGGAAATTTGAGTATTGAGAAACCTCTCATTTAGCTTAGGAACCTTCCTAACGGAGTGAAATGACCCGGAAGTCCCTCAGTGGCAGCCATGATAAGTGCCGTTCCAATTCTCCAAATGAATGGAAAGGAGGTTTCAAACTTCCTTTATAACCTCCTTTAGCTTAGGAACCACTGCCGCAGCATTTGTGTCACACAACAGTCGGCCGTTCACGGAAACAACCGATTATGACCGAGAAATGATATCATGAAAGTTACGGTCACTAAGCATTTTAAAACGTAGGCTATGTGGTAAGTTGCCAAAGTGCTTTGTTTTGAACGTTCATCAGTATTATAATCAAAAAGAGAAATATGAACGTTAGTTTTTACTGAAATGATCAAATAAAGTCAACATTTCACAGTCTTTACTGAGCTGTGTGGGGTTTGTTCAACTTTTAAAAGATGTTTGAATGGTGGTATACACAGTGATAGATGTTAAGGACTAACGTTTATAATAAATACATTTGTATTTATTATAAGATCTTTTCATACAATCATACGTATTGGGATCATTTGTATTAATGTGGACCGGAGGGAGAGGGTGATGAGCATAAGTTTCACTTTCCTTTTTTATTTCAATTCCAACTTTGGTCATGAAGAATATGTTTCTCTGTTGTCCACGTTCATAAAGCATAAAGCAACAGCATCAGAGCACGGTGCAGAGTCTCTAGATGAGTTTACAGTAGTCCCTCGTTCTTTTTAAACATCCATGTTGTAGTCCGCTGTATAGAAAACTGTAGTTTCCATAGTTTCCCCACAGCAGCAGACGTTGGATTCTCTAAAGTACTGCAGTCTCTTCTCCTAAGTCCTTTTGAATTCTCCTATCCACTATCCCTTAACCCCGTGACCTTTCACTCAGAGGTCGAGGAATAGACGATGGATAACAAAATGTAATCACAAAGATACTTCAAGAAAACCACCTCACCTGGTCCAAAAAGACCCACTTATGCATCTAAGGGTTAACAAGTCAGCAAAAGTGGTGACAAAAAATGATATGGTTTCATACAAAAAATGTGTATGCTTAGTAGCATGAAGCTCATGGTGGTAATAGCTATTATGAATGGTAAAGTCTTAGCTTATAGCTAAGGGTATTTGTTATAATAAACTTAAATGATAAGGCACTTTTCAGTTATACAATGCATTCACAGAGAAATAGACACCATGAATACAACAGCTTGAATTCATAAAGAGAATGAAAAAGAAACTAGAAAGCAGAAAGTGAACATGGAGTAAAACACAGTAAAAAAAAATCACATGAAAGTGATTTATTTAAACAGATGGGATTTGCAGCCCTGATCCGAGGATGTCAGAGTGAGGGAGGGGGCATGGGACAATGAAAGGTCATATACAGTTAATACCTTGTGGTGCACTCTGTGTGTGTGTGTGTGTGTGTGTGTGTGTGTGTGTGTGTGTGTGTGTGTGTGTGCGTGCGTGCGTGCGTGCGTGCGTGCGTGCGTGCGTGCGTGCGTGCGTGCGTGCGTGCGTGCGTGCGTGCGTGTAGCTCACTATAGCAGAGCCCTGATTGACTCTCCTGTAGGAGTGTGCTGCGGGTCAGAGACAGCGGGGCAATCTGGAAACTATTATGCTGCTTAGCTGTGATGGATCATGTGGAAGGCATGTCCGCTGCTCTGGCTTTTGTCATCATAAAGCGGACTGTGTGCGTGAGAACTCAGCCAGTCTTTCCATTAAAGTTACTAATCAGGATGATTGCACAAGCTATGGGATGCCTTTGTGCTGCAAGTCCACCTTTCTCAAACAGACAGTCATGTTGAAGTGTCTCTTTCCCTCACTTTAATGACTCACAGTACGAATGTGTCTTTTTTTGTAATGGCAAAGTGCAATTTTGTGATTTATATTCAACAAAAATATATCACAAATGGTCTAATTTTGTCTGCATATATCTTGATTGGTCATTAATATATTTTTTGTAAGATCAATTTGTTATGTGGAAGCAACTATCCTAATAAATATTTTCACAAAGCAGAAATGACATAGAAGTTGGTATCTAGGGTTTAATCATTTGAGAACTTATTCGGTAAATCTGTAGTAGGACAAATGAGTATATTTAATTGCTTATAACATTCTTGTTGTTGCTGTGTTTTTCAGGTCATCGGCACCCCGTCAGAGGAGACCTGGCCTGGTGTTAATTCTCTGCCACACTTCAAACCAGGTAAGACCTTTCATGTCATTAAGTTAGAGACAACATTTTAATGCTTCAATAAAGTAAATCATACTTCAACCTAAACCAAAAGAAAGAACACATACAATAGTGTTGGTCAGAAGGTTACCAGGAAGCATTGGATACAAAGAGGAGTCAGCATAGGAGCTATCATAATTTTTGTATGATATATTTTAGCAACAGAGTATAGCAACACGTCTTATTATAAGTATTATGGTTTGTTTTTTTGTTTTATTTGTAACTAATGTCATTGCATCTTGTGTTTTTTTTATTACTGTATGCTAGTTCAACACAGTCTCACGGCATTTCGTGTTATAGTCACGAAATTAATCTATTGATCCGTGTTCACCAACACGATTTCCCCATTTTTTTCGTGTCACACAGAACGATTTTAAAAGCAATGTAAATAATAACAAATTAGAAGGAAACACAGGTTTAAAAAAATACAGATTTCAGTATTCTGAGGCTCTGAGCCCCATTTATTTTCTTCGCGGACGGCAAAAAAACTCCGACATTATACTATTTAAAATAAAAGGGTTAGGCTTAGGGTAAGATATTGAGTAAGAAAATGTTTTTATGAACCCCACAGCTTAGGGTTAGGGGACTCCAAGACCCGACTGGACAAAAACACGTGGTGCAGGCACGAAACATACTACCATAGAAATAGCCTACATTGCTTTTAAAAAATGCGAAAATGGTGTTGGTGAACACGAATCAATAGATTCAATTAATTTCGTGACTATAAGACAAAATGCCGTGAGACTGGGTTGGCTGGTTTGTTTGTGTACTTATATAAAATCAGGCTCCCTGCTTACACTTTAGCTCAAACAATAGTTATCAATACCAGGCTTCATGCTAACACTTTAGCTCACACAATATTTATCAATACCAGGCTTCATGCTAACACTTTAGCTCACACAATATTTATTAATTCCATGCTTCATGCTAACACTTCAGCTCGAACAATAGTTATTAACACCGGGCCTCATGCTAACGTTGTCAACACCAGGCTTCATGCTAACACTTTAGCTCGAACAATAGTTATTAACACCACGCTCAATGCTAACACTTTAGCTCACACAAAACAAATATTTGAACCGGGCTCAATACTAACACTTTAGCTTACATGATATATTTACACTTTAACATACTCATGTTTGGTATGAAGCCATGGAATTTGCTTTGACTCACAACTTTTGCTCACTTGTTAATTAATAAGTCATGTTATCAATTAGTTATTGGTTCTGAACCAATGGGACAAAAGCCCACTACACATTAATGCAGCAGCAGCAGCAGCAGCAGGGGCAGGGCAGGGCAGGCTGGGGGTGTCATCCATGCCCTCTGGGAGCTCATTAGGGCTTTTTAGAGGGAACATGAAAAGAGGGAGTGTAGATTAGTGCATGCTGATGGAGTGGAAGAGAGGGGACAGCGAGGATGGACATAAAGAGGGTGAGAGTGATGGTGCGGGCAATGGGATGCAGCCTCCCATCTCCAGTGGCCAATTAGGGACCAACTAGGGGGCTCATGGTCTCGAACACACACACACACAACACAACGTGTAATCTCTCATCCTGTGGCCATGGCGACGGTTGTTTCTTGTTTGCACTCAAACACAGTGTTGAACAGCTGTGCAGCTGTCTGACAACACACACAAACACACATGCTAACATAGTCAGTGATCACTGTTCGATCAAATTGGGCGAAATAATTATCACCACACATTATAGGATTATGATCTGCTGGTAATAAATACAGATTTGCTTTAACTGTTTGATTGTTCTGTATATTCTAATCTCCTCTGAAGGTTACATCATGGTAGGGTTATCAAAAGTTCATCCTTAATATAGATTTATATTTTGTAATCAAAGCAAAATACATATTTACATATACATATATTTCTTTGTTATATGAATTGCAAGCTGTGTAGGGCAAAGTATTATTTTTTGTTAGCATTGTGTCAAAAGTCTATCCAACAAAGGTCCAAAAGGGTGACTTTACGGTCCAAACTAAATAATGCATGGTACAGGCTGATACAAAAGTATGATACTAATCTGGTAACCTGTAAAATCAACGTCCTTTAAAATATATTTTGTATTTTCCATAATCTGAATATTTATTGTCCAAAAATAAATCCATAGGTATTTTTCAAATGTAATAAAGTCCAGCAGATGGCAATGTTGCGTTAGTTTGGAAATCATTTCCAGTTTTCACTGAGAGCCTCACTGGTATCTTCCCTCTGATCTACAGTGACTGGCTATCATTCATCACATATTCACTGTTATTTTCCAAACTAGCTTAACATCTCTTAGTAGCTTGATCTCAGAATGGAAGTATATTTTTACATTTTTGTGGACATGAAAAGGTTCCACAGACACTTGCTATCACATGTTGTTCTGGTTCTCTACTCTGCTCTACCTACAATCTAATGACTACGTATGTATAAGGCCAGGCTTTAACATGCCATTCCAAGTCAAACCAAATATATTATAATCATAAGCAGTCACTTCCCTTAGTGTTCATCAAGTATCATGGTGTTCAATTGTGACTGAACAGATGGAGTGGCCTCCCACAGCAATCCAGTGGCAAACAGCCATGATTCCTACCGTCTTATCTAAACAAAAGCTCTATTTCGGAAGATAAATTGTGTAAATGAAGTATACCCAGCTCACAGAAGTCATCACAAGCAATGTGCATGTATCATATCATATTGAAAACATTCACCAAGTTACATTTAAATGTCTTTAATACATTCAAAAGGAAAGTAAGATTTAAATGTAGTTGTAACCTGTTCCAGTCGTAAGGGGAAATATGACTTATATTACTAGTATCCCAGGCATTTTCATATGGACATTATGGACAGATGAATGTAGTCTGTACTGTACATTTAGTTTTGCCACCATTTAAAAGGACTTTTATATAAAACTGTACAAATGCTCTATATATTTTGCTACCACTACATGTTGTCTTTGCATGTCATTTAGGAATATAAATAATATTAAAACTTGATAATTCAAGGAAATATGAATGAAAAATATTCTATTTCTGTTTTTGAAAAGAAATCGATATTCAGCATGTAAGTGTATCATTATTATCAGTGTATAAAGCATACAGTTGAGGTGCTTAAGTGTATCGTTTTAAAGACTATTTTCTGGGCCAGTTTAGCCATTATTAGACAGATTAGAAAGAGGGAGATAGTGGGGATGACACGCGTGAGGCACCGCGGGCAGGATTTGAACCGGTGTTCTCCACAGCAGGGAGTGATCATGTATGCTGATAGATTAAACAACATTCTGTTAAACCCTGCTAAAACAGCAACACTTTTACCATCACTGTACAAGAATAACAGATTAGCTCTACAAATATTCAGATTAAGATGGTATGTCAAATATATCTGAATAAACAATTATATCGTTTTTGGTTTATCTTACTAGTCAAATATAATATTCCAAATAAAAATGATCGGAACAATGCCTGTGATGTTCCTCTCCCCTCAGGAGGCTGAGGCCGGGTCAGGCTGCAGCTCACACAGTCGGCTGGTTGGCCTGTAGGAGCATTCCTGAAATGAGAGAAGCCACACCTTCTTTTTTCACACTTCAAAGAAACACTAATTGTATTAAGACTTTGTTTAGGTATTGCTTGGGTAATAAAGTCATTGATGATTAAACCATCGCTTTGGACTTAAGGGGAATAATTATTAAAACAATCAATAAATACCTTACTATACAAATTCCCCCATTGTTTCAAAATGTATACTGCTAACTACGAAAGCATATTCCAAAAGGATTTAGACATATGGGCAGCACGTCATTTGTCTCTGTCAAGTTGGATCAAGACTGTACGCAGTCCATTTCAAATGTAACCTTTCGACCCTAAGTGTACATTTGACAGATTAGACAGGCCAAGAATCAGGCTGTAAAAAATGCAGTCGCTCAAACTCACAAATGTAAGATATTATCTCTGGGCTGCGCCGTTAAAACCTTTAACATCATGGATCCAGCACCTCTCATCTACATGCTGGCCTAACAACGAAAAACGTGTGGGACGCCAACAGACTTCTCCTTGAAACCAAATGTTTCTGTTGTCCCATAGTCCAACTTCAAAATGAGTAATGTGGACACAGTCAGTTATTGACCTGTCTCACTACAAACATTTGAATATGGCACAGCAAGAAACACACACGTGTTATGAATCACTTTGATTATGGCTACATTCCTTTGAAGTGAATGTGCTCACTGGCTCTGCCTTCTCTGACATTTACACTGAACAGCACATTGTTCAAGCTATAAGATACACCTGCAACTGTCCTGCTTTGCTGTAAATGAAAAGCATGGGAGGATTAGCATGCTATTCTTTCAAAGTGGTTTTGAGTGATTATAAAAACATTGCAGGTATGTTATATAGTATGAATGTTTACAATCAACCAATAAAACCTCTAATTGGCAGATGTTACAATGGGGTTTGGCTTGATATACCACAGTATTTAGGAGGTCTAACTTAAATGTGATGCCAAGTTAAGGACTAAATGTTGGTTTGTTGTCTTTTCATTACAGATCGCTTTACAGTGTACAGCCCCAAGAAGCTCAGACAAGCCTGGAATAAGTAAGTGAACAAACTTGTGTGTGTTACTTTGTACTGTATACCTAAAGTGTTGTGTCATAGGGTGTTGAAGCTGACACTCTGTCCCTAGTTGCTTTCTTTAGAGGCACACTCCCCTGGGTTTTGAACACAATGATAGTGCAGCTCACACACTCACATGTTCTTCCTCTGCCTCCACCCTTCCTGCAGCATGCGTGTGTGTGTTTCTGCTCAGGCTCATATGGCAGAAAAAGGTCATGGTGGCACAGTCCAGGCTCCCCCAGATGTGTGCCACTGTTTGCCCGAGGCCAACATCTGGAGGGGAGACCACAGAGGGCAGAGGGGGGGTGTACAGCAGCACCAGGAAAGAGATGTATGTAAAGCTCCAGCTGTCTGATCAGCTGTGTCACAAAGTCTAGCTGCTGCACGGGGATCCATGAGACTAGTGCTACCTCTGTTCCTCCTTCAATTCATCTGTGTCCTTATTCCCATCTGCACAGAAAGGACTACAGACACCTTACTGACACAACTCTCATATAAAACGACTACAAAGGAAAATCTACCTAAATCTAAATACATAAGTTTGCCAGCAGTTCCTCAGATACATGCCTTTTGGAATTATTGTAACATTTAAAAAACTTAAAGATATTCAAAATTGGCTGCCAAAAAAATGTAAAATGGATTTTCCCCAGCAATCTGCCTGGACAAAGAATTCAAAAAAAGAAAGTCAGTGGAAAGTTTGTTTCTTTGTTTTGCAAGGATGAGTGGGGGTGCAGTATTATTTGATGACAACCATTTTTCATCAACTTTGTTATTCTTTAATTCAAGTATTTATCTTTTTTCTCATACACATTTTTTTATTTTGTTAATACTTCATATTTGAGTTTTTTGGAGCAATTTAATGTTTGGTGTCATGTAGACATTTTGATTGTAATGTTATTAAACACCATTCAATACAAATCAAATGATATATAAAAGAAGATGGAACATGAAGACGTTGCTAACAGTTTGTAAGGTTAGGCCATTTAGCCAGGTGGACACATTGTAATCCTATTTCCTCCAGCTTCACATGCATTGTTCTTCTATGTAGTTTTGCTGTATGAAGTTGTTAAATAAATAGTCATGTCATGTTGATTTTGAAGTTGAAGTATCTCTGCTGTCATATAACAACTTTGTAACTCCAGTTTGAAACATTTGGGAAAGCCAGCTCAAGTTTGGAGTTGATTATAGTGGAGATAAGGAATGTAAAGAAGTCTATGGACCACATGTGATGACCAATGTAAAATGGAGTGGGTTGAGGTGGGTTTCCCCTCCCAGTGTCCTGGCCCTGCTAACAGTCCAGGAGGAAATACAAAGAGGCCAGGAATGATGAATGTGATATGAACTCAAACTCTCCCTCTGCTGCTCTCCTGTTTCTGCTTTCGTTTCCTTCCTGCAGCTGAAGACATGTGAGAGACTGATGTAAAGGGTTCAGGGTTTATATCGCTTTGTGCGCTTCTGCACTGTAATATAGTAATACAACTGTCTTGTAAAATCCCATATTGTGCCTATTTCTCAGGTTCATGTATGTGTATATGAATACTACTTGATTACTTACAGATACTTAATCTTTAAATGGACGCTAAATAGACTGCATTTATATACCGCTTTGCTTTACTTTTCACACACATTCATATAGAGGCAGAGGCTGCCTTACAAAGTGCACCTGCTCAGGAAACTATCATTCAGAAAGTCATCTTTTATAGCCATTTGAAGCTAATTGGAAGAAAGTACCTTCATCAATAACACCTCCACATGTTGGCGCATTTCCACTACAGCGCGGTTTAAGCGTGCCGTGCCGTCCCAGCCCGTTTTTGGTTGCGTTTCCACTAGGCGTAGTAGTAGGCTACCGGCTAGCGGGTACTATTTCATAGTTTTTCTGGCCCCATCAAATCGAAGTTCTTTCCGGGCCAACAACCGGGCTGAGTATGCTAAACTAGAGAGAGAATCGCTGGCAAGGGGGCTACAACTACAACAAGATGAACATATTTGACCGTGATTTAATTGTAATACACGTTTCAAAATGATGCCGAAGTAACAACATACTGATACCGGTTAGTAAAAACCATGAATAAATGCTTTGACAAGTCTGCAGACAGATGGCAGGCGAAATGCGTGTTTTCTGAATGGAGCTTGGCTAAGCTAACGTTATATATGCTCCGACCGTCCACACTCACAACAACGGCCTATACAGACATAAATAAACCAGCGACTGTATTCGCCATGACACAGACAGTCTGTGGTTTGTACTTGTTTAACTTTTGTCCAGTTTCTGAACAGATATGAGGAGCTGTGAGCTCTGAGGGCTGAGATTATCAGTCTTATAGGAGGATTTAAAACTGGTTGCATGTGTGCTTCAGCTTCAGCATACAGTATCAATATGTATTTATATATATCTTTGACTAGATATTAGTTGTTGAAAGTTCATATTTATAGCAATCCTGAAAGTGCTATACTATTTGATATCACATTTATGAAGAGAGAGTGATGGCATACCTGAAAGTATTTCCAATTGAAGAACTACCACGTCTTTAGCCACAGCTGCCCCCCTTTACATGCTGTAATGTTCATAAAACACATTCATATCTAATACTGCCCATATGAATGCAAACTGTATATATGAACATTTGAATCAGTAAGGTATAATCACTATGACCGGATGCCAGACATTGATCAGAGGGTCCTTAGCAGCGATCTGCTATCGAAAACGGCACATCTCTAGAATCTCCAATAGACCCACTTTGTTGAACCCATCTCTGAGACTGAGAGCACTAATGTTTCCAGTGTGACCCTACAGCTGCATGCTCAGGCCTGTTGGACTCAAGATGCCCTCACAACAACCTCATCATCAAATATGTCAGATTTAAGATGATGTCTTCAGACAAAATACACACAGCTTTCTTCCTAAAACTTCTCCTGCTGTCTGATCAAACGAAGAGACCACTTTCTGCAGTGGGGGCGTGGGGCGCACTGCAAGGCAGGTGGTATCCTCTATCTCTTCTCTCAAAAGGCCTTGGTGTAGTTTTCTGATAGAATACCTTTAAAAGCATGACCATGCACCAGTGAGGAAGGAATGCTCCTCTCTGCTGTGAATGTGCCATCACCTGCAGCTGTTTGATATTTCAGGAGATATGATCCATCTCACTGTAGATGTGCACTTATTCAGAGGGCCGGCTGACAGCCATAACACAAAGGAATGTGCACCTAGTGTACATCAACACTGTTCAAAGGCCAGCATGCTCACATCCAGGTGATTTCACACCTACATCCACCCTTTGTGTTGGCACCTGCAGAGAAACCGCACAGCTAAGCACGGCCAGCTAAACTTTCAGAGAGCACTTGAAGCAGATGAAATCTAATAGGCATTTTTCCTTTTCATTTCTGGGCACATTCATACTCGCCAGAAGATGAGCCCTTCGATTTGAGTCCTTCGATGCAGGCATTTCCTCTAAAACAGTTCTCAGTAAATAGTTCTCACAATGTTTTTATAATGCGTTCTAACAACATTAGCCCTGCAAAATATGAAGACAGATTTTCAAAGTGTGAACATTACCTCTCTGGAGATGTTCAGTGCAGCAGGGCTGTTGCACAAGTCGGAGCCCGTTGCTGTGCATGCTGGGAATTTACAGACAGAGCTGATGCTCATCAGTCATTAAGAAGTTCAGTGTGTGTTGCAGCTACCAAGCAAATGGAGCTGCAACACTCCATGTGTGTGTTGCACAAAGCATAACTGAAGCTCAGTGTGGACTTTAGGGACAGTTAGCAGAAACAAGTCCTCAGAACTTAGCCGATGGATCCCGTACCTTTGCAATAGATGTAAATCAGAAAAATCCAACCTGAGCATAGAAGCAGCAACGGTGCGTATGGGTTTTAAGGTTTGCAATGAACCTCAATGCTCTGTGGAGACGGCATCCCGAGATCTTAGGCATGTAGAAGATGCATTCAAAAAACCCACATCACCATAATCCAGCCCCAGCATAAACCTTGCACCAATGAGAAGCTCTCATTTCTCTTCAGAACTGTTGAATAGCTGCACTGTTAATCAGCTGCTTCAAACCAAACTAGTATCAGTAATGGCCTTAAGAAGCTGTCTCATTTCACTTTCAGTTATTTTCCATAACTATAGTTTCTCACAAAGACTTTCTGAGTGCGCTGGAGTCCCGCAGCTGTGTGAGGAAGAGGCGAACGGGGGCCCTGATGGACTTCATTAACTCTGCTGAGTGGCGTGGATGAGTTGAGCAGTTCCCCCTCCTCTGTCTCTGCTGATAAGTGGAGCTGAGATCCCCATTGAGAGCCATGGGAGTGTGTGTCAGAGTGCTGGGCTGTGAGAGGCTTGCAGAACATGAGAGACGCTCTGTGCACGAGAGCTGAATAACATCATGTTTCTTTAATGCAGAGATGACTAATTACTCACTGAATTTGTTGCTCTTCGTTATTTTCAATCTCTTCTCCACCTCGGCACTGCTAGGTGGGGCTGGTTCAGGAGTTCAGTGACTCCCAGTATGAATACACACACACACACACACACACACACACACACACAATCACACAGTTTGCTTTCATCTTGAACAGTTTTTGTGAGCCACTCGTCGTGTGTGCTCTTGTGTGTGTAAGAGGTGTTTTCCTCTTGAGTCAGCAGACCTCAGCATCATTAGGAGGCTTATTTGTTGTTGTCAGCTGCTCTGTGAATTGGAAAAAAAATGTTTATTTCTCAAAGGGATGAATTAATGGTAACTCTATATATATATATTTAAAGAGCATTGGATCGGCTAAATGGGTCGACCGCCTGTTTTCTGTTGTGGTCAAAACAAAAGGGCAAAACCAAGAAGATGCTAATGTGAAAGAATGTAACGGTTGAGAACTGTGTCCATGCCTAGTTATGTGTCTAACGTTTTGCACTGTGGGAATTGTAGTCTTTTATCTCAAACCTTTTTTTGAACTGTCTCGTCGCGTGTGCGTCTTTGTGGTGTCTCTCTGATGAAGTGTGCTTCTGTGTGTCAGGTTGGGCTACGTGGACCACGGCGAGGAGTTGGCCTCCAGGTTCCTCCAGTGCTTCCCAAAGAACCGGCTGTCTGCCCAGGCAGCGCTGAACCACGAGTACTTCAGCAACCTTCCTCCGCGGCTCTGTGAGCTGCAGGACAGTATGTAACACAGCACCCACACACACACACACACACACACACCACACACACACACACACACACACACACACACACACACACACACACACACACACACACACACACCACACACACACACACACACACACATACTGTTGACCAAAATGCAGAAAATACTTCTTTCAGGCTTATTAGAGAGGTGCTGTGATTACGTACTTTAGAAGGCCGACGTGGAAGTTAGCATCGCAAGGGCTCCCAGTGGGATTTTTCCATTTGGATTCTGGAATATTGCAGAAAATAAGATCTTTTGGCAAATAAGCAGGATCATCTCCAAATATCAACGCCACTTTATGTTTTTGTAAGCGTAAATGCAACTTGGCATCCTTCGTCACAGCCTCCAGTTTGAATGCTTCGCCGATGACATACAACTCTACATATCACCAACACAAGCCACTCCACACACATCAACTGAAATCACACCTTGTAGCTTATTCAGCTCACTTTTAATGCTGCTAAATTGTTAACAAATGTAAAAAAAAACACAAGTGACAGTCAGGGTTGGGAGGGTTACTTTGTAAATGTAATCAGTTACTGATTACTGATTACTGAATACATGGCTCTGAAAGTAATCTGAATACAGTTACAGTTACGTGTCTTAAAAAAGTAACGTAATCAGATTACTTTTAGATTACTTTTGGATTACTTTCTTTTTCCATCACAGATGGGTATGTTTTGGTGAACAGGAGACACAAAAAGCAAAAGGAAACTGAACGTGTTTTTACTGTTTTAATGGCGTATCAAGAGCACAACTGAAACATAGCATCTGAAACGATGTAACAACATAGGCTAATACACTTTTTGGGGATGCAGCTTGGGATGTGAGGAGTGAGGGACACGGCTTAGAACGGGCGTGTCGCCTTCTGTCCTGCCAGTGTTGGCAGGACATGAATTAAAATGTCAAACTCGGACTTCATTTTAAGGACATTACGGCCAGGGGTGTAGAGCTATATTTGTTTAAGCACCGGATTGGCAAAACAGGAGAGTGTGTGCACCAGTCTGCCTTGATCTATGAATTCATGTCCGTGACTCTCACAGTATCTGCTGCCCGCAGCTGTTTTATAGAAGGAACACCTCCTTCACTTCATGAAATCTCTGCAGCACCAGGAGGCAGCGGGAGGGTTAACTCAGCCTCTGAGAAGACGAGCACGCCGTGCCTTTCACGCACCGCCTTCACTGTGTTTACCTTCAGAAATAATCATTAGTAAGGCTAAAGAAAGAGCGACCGCAGGCTGATGTGTTTTAACCACACACACGCGATTTAAACGCAGACTTTTGTTCCTCCATGTTTCGTTGTTATTGTTTCACTGAGCGGACCCGCGATTTTTTTTTCAAACGCTTTTTTGGTCCATCTGCGGCGGTAATAGGTTTTGTGGGCTGTGATGATTCGGCTGTATACCTTTAGTAATGAATATTAAATGTTGTGAGGAAATCTTTCCACCAATAATTCCAATAAGTAATCCAAAATGTATTCACTTCAGGTTTACGAAAGTAACTGTAATCAGATTACTCGTTTTTCAAATGTAACGCGAGCTGAATACAGTTACTTGATTTTTGTATTCTGATTACGTAACGCCGTTACATGTATTCCGTTACAACCCAACCCTGGTGACAGTACAGGGATATGCTGTATATGCTGAACAAATATTGAAAGAAATCACTAGTTATCACAAGCAGTATTTACATTAAAAGAAGTAACAATGTGCAGTAAATGGACTTTTCTTTCCTACAGTGATATACAGTCAGAAAGTCTCTCTCCTCTCTGTGTTCTTCTTCCTGAGCCCCCTGCTCTGCTGTGGATCACAGTGTCCTCCTGCTCTCTGTCTGCAGAGGAGCAGTGCAGACACCTCAGGGCAGCTTTTTGTTCCTGCAGAGACAGCTCTTATCATGAGGCTGCCGCTGGGACAGTGAGCGCAGCCGGACCTCTGCTGGCTGCCTCAACACACTCATTCTGCTTTGACATCGTCCTGAGCAAGCTGAGGCACTGTGGTTCTAAACCGTCATTTGACTGGGGGGGCCTTGCTGGGGGGGCCTTGCTGGGGCCAGTATTTTATGAGTGGGGCGGATTTAATGCTGGGCCAAAAAGAGAAAAAGACAGTGTTCAACATTTTAACATTTAAATTGTGTATGGCGCACGAAAAACATAAAATACCATCATTGCTGTTTTTTGGTAAAATCATTGTTGTTATAGTTAAATTATTATTAAATTACATAATGAAAAATAAAATGCATTTTAGTTTACTTCGCCTATTCACAGCACAACACTACCTACAATTGCATTGTCAATATGAGCTCCTCTGTTGGAGGGGGGTCACAGAGGGGTCAAAGCTCATTGTAACAGGGGCACTGGCCACTATTGCCCGTACCCCCCACCCGCTTCAACACCACCCATGCACTGTACCTGGTGATTTACAGAAGTACAATGCTTCACTTTAGAAGCAGATGTGTGCTGCATGTATTTGGCTGTAAGAATTCAAGGCTATTTTTCAATGAATCCCACAGAATTGTGTTATTGAATGAAGGTCTGTCTGAGATGACATATCCATATGCTTATACGTACATCACCAATCCCTTAAGCTGGTATTCATTAGCGGTGTGAAAGCCTGCTCAGCAGACCTGAGTGTGCTGCCACTGACATGGTGGTCATTTTATTGGAGAATTCCATTTTTAATTCCCTGCGATTAGGAATTCTCAGCATTAATAATCCTGTTATCAGCACCCAGCAGGTTGTCATGTCTGAAAAGAATCAGAGAGCGGCGGTCACTAGCAGAGGAGGAGAGAGATGCTGCTTTTGATTTCTGTCATGCTCGCTTGCTCTCTCTGCCTCTCTATTGTGCGGCACATGTGACACAGGCAGCAGAGCTCTGAGGGGAGAGAATTCAAACAGTTTGGAGAAATTAGGACAGGAGTGGATAAACACAAAGTCTTCCAATGTGTGTGTGCAGATTTGCCACTCGCAGTTTTGTGGGGGAAGGATGTGTCACAATTATGCAAATGAAGTGAATTTGAGATAAAGAACTGGCTAATTACTCCAGCTGTGAGAGCTAGACTGCAGCCAGGCACGGTAATAATGCTCTAATGGGAACAGCTCAGTACAAGCTGCTCTACAGAATCAGCACCAGTACTACCAGTAACACAGATGTCATATATGTTTGAGAAATGAATGCTTTCAAGTAAATGTCCCATGTTCTCGCTGTAGGGATGAACAGTATGCTTTCTGTGGCCAACTGTTCACTCTATTGCCATGTGTATCATGGATTTATCCAGACAATACCCAGACAGATTACCCGGGACAATGGGAGAATTACTGAGACAATGGAGCTCCTGAGCTTTCTGTTACTCTGAGGATTGGATAGTAGCATTCTTAATTTGATTTCAGAGGAAGTGTGTGTGCCTGGCAGAACAGCGGGAACTCTCTCCTGTCTCTGTGGACAGAGCGTCATGGATCCGGAAGTGAAGAACTGTTGCTCTTTGTGAAATTCCACTGCCTTTATTTACCAGTTAGAGAGAAGGATTTCAAACCCATTTGCTCCAATAGGAATTAGAGCTAAATCCACTTTGGGACCCCCATTGTTCACCGAAAGATAAGCACCAGAAACAATGAGCCAATGGAGAAGAGTTTTGAGTTTTCCCTTAAACTGAACTACTGCCTCTGAGCCATGAGGATTTCAAATGGTGCAGGCAGAGACACTGCATGTGGAGGAAGGGACAGGTGCACGTAACATCTACAGTATAGAGAGCTGCAGGTATGAGTCCTTAAACATGGAAATGAGTTAGCATTTAACCACTTTAAGGTTCCCTGGTCTCAAAGGCAACTGTTTGTCAACGTGTTTTAGGTTTGCCACGAGGTGAAGAAATTGTTTTGCTAAAGATTTTATATCCTGCAATGTTCTGAAATCCAATGCGTTTTAAAAAGACGGCCCTGCTATGCTAACTTCTAGGTCGGCCTTAATGTGCCAGTCCCAAACGGTTCGGCTTTTGTTTGAACTGTTCCAACAACACATTCCTGAAACTAAATGAAGCACTACTTAGAATATATCCAACGTTCCAGGTTCCTTTAGGAGGTACCAACAGTGTATGAGCGAGGAAATGACAATCAAAGGCGAAAGTGAAGTGATAAGACTATTGACGTTTTTCTTTAAAAACATTATGATCAGAATTAGAAGCAATTTAGAATCTAGAATTGCAATTTTTAACATTATTATAATTTAAAAACAAGTGAGTAAAGTTCAAATGTGTCATGTACCAATTGAAATACCTTTAGAGATACTTATGACGGCAATATTTAAACCCTAAGAAGCTTCTCACTGCAGATACATATTCAAATCTTCTTTTGTTATCTCTGTGTCTAACTTCTCACTGAGAAATGTTCCTCTTCCCGTCAGCCTGCACTCTTCTAACCTGCCTGCGTCTCCTCCCCTGCAGTATCGTCTATCTTCACCGTACCAAATGTCAAGCTGCAGACAGAGAGCGGGGACAGCATACAGGTGTGTGCGCGCAGGAACAGCCAGGGGAAGGCTTCCTCTGGAGGCAAGCACTGACCTGCTGACAGGTACGCTCTCACTACCGTGTGTGTGTGTGTGTGTGTGTGTGTGTGTGTGTGTGTGTGTGTGTGTGTGTGTGTGTGTGTGTGTGTGTGTGTGTGTGTGTGTGTGTGTGTGTGTGTGTGTGTGTGTGTGTGTGTGTGTGCGTGCGTGCGTGCGTGCCGTGCCGTGCGTGCGAAAGTAATCGGGTTACTTTTATATTTTGATACTCAGATTAGGTTACTTATAATTGGTTTGTACATATAACTAGTTATTGTAACTAGTTTTAAAGTACCCCTCCCCACCCTGGTGATGATCTGATTGGCTGCACTGCTACAATGGATCACAGTTACGGTTTATTCTTTGGTCTTTTATCTGAAAATATCTGAAGTCTGATGTGTGGCATGAATTCATTTAGCCTTATCTACATCTGAGTTTAATGTTCTGTTTTTAAAGTCATCCTCACATTAAATATCCTACCCTGGGGAAAGTAGTGCATACTAAGCGAGCCTTGCATCATAGTTATCCACATTGTGACCTTGAAACAGAAGAATGTGTTTCTGTTCTTTATTCAGGGCTCAGAGCACGCTGAAAAGACTTTAGCTGCTTGGATTATCCTGCATTTGGTGCTTCAACCATTTAGAGATTCTTATAAAGTGTGAGAACAAAAGAGTGTTTCTGACGCGGGCAGGAAGGATGCTCAGGCAGTAAGACTCAAGTCAAAACTGGAGAACATGTTATACTTTTCAACTTTAAAAAAGTAGTCAGGGTTTTTTCCAGGCGTTCTCTTTTTGAATAAAACATTCATATTCCTCTTTTGGTACATCGCAACCCACATAAACAGCATTTAACAATCAAGTTCCATTTCTGTCAAAATAAGGAAAATGTCCAACTCAGAAAGACATCAATAGGAATATACAAATGAGGTTTACTGACAGAATATGAGTCTTAGCCCTTAGCCGCTTGGTGCAGTTTGTTTGGGTCGGTGTGAACTAAACAACCAGACTCTGGCCCGCCTAAAGAGGTGGTCTCGGACGGACCGCTTGCTAGTGAACTCTGGAGCGGTTCATCGCTGGTGTGAACGCAGTCCGCACCAAAACATAGGAAGCGTAGTATTTACGTGTCACAAGAACGCAGGTGTCTTCAAAATCGTTAGCGAAAGAGTGAAGCAGAATGAAGTGTTGAACAGTGTTGTGTAAAGTAAAAACAACTATCAAACTAAAAACTATACATAAAAGTCAGCGGCGCCGGATTCATTTCAGAAGTGGGGGGGGGGCCAAAAAGTGCGTGTGTATGTGACATAGCCTGCTTGCCAACCCTCCCGATTTTCGCGGGAGACTCCCGTTGTCCTCCCGGGGTCATATTTATCCCGCATTTCTCCCGATTTCTGACTAAATCTGATTTGTTTCATTCTAACATAACGCACCAAATGTTACTGTTTCCACTCGGACTTCAATACAGCTACACCATTGTTTGGTTTCCATGGTAACGTGTCTCTTTAGTAGCGCGAGCAAATGAAAGTCTGAGATTGTCTTCAGGAGGAAGATAGTCAGAGAAAACAGAACAAGAATGGACAACTCAACCCTCTGCTCACTCCTTTCCTCTACATTAAACTACACAGACCAGCCCACACATATGACAGCGCAGTTGCTCATTCCATCTCTTCTTTTTTCCTGCTACGCTCTTGTTTGACAAGCTGAATGTTGACTGGTCTTTGACTGAAGTAAGCTCTGTGAAAAGTTCCAGTTATTAACTCGGTATTTACAAAGCTGTCATCTCCACATTTGGAGAAAGTTACAAGCCGTTTGACAGCATCACATCTGCATATTTCACAGAAGGCTCGTTTAGTGGTTTTGCAAATAATTAACCACTCTCTGTTTTTGTACCATTCTGCATTGAAGTACCTTCTCTTTGCCCAAATAAGCTTTTATTTGCCCGTCACAATGTCCCGACAACAAACCTCCATGCAGTCGGAACCAGTCTGTTTCGGTTCAACGATGCCGGCGGCGGCGGTTTTGACAGCCTCTGCGGCCGCAGAGCTGCTGCTGGGGTTCATCTGGCTGCGCTGGTTCTATGTTTGAAGGACCAGGCTCCGGAGCTGGTTCTATGGTTGAAGGACCAGGCTCCGGAGTTGTGGATGTCAGGGATGTGACATTCAAGTTGTTGAATTTCAGCTTAGTTTGACTGTATTTTGTTTTCTTAGGCGCCGGTTCTTCTGACATGTTTGCAAGTTTATCTATCTAGGTTAACGGCTGACACACACTGAACAACGTAACACATAACGTAAACAACGTAACAAATAAACACATCTAAGCTTTGTTATTGGTTGTAATGTCCATGGATACATTTGAATGGTGTGACAATGTCCTATTTGATTGGATTAAAATGTACATATTCTTCCTGTTATGTCTGCCTGCTGTATTACCTAATGCAAAGTGACCTGCTGCTCCATCGAAATCAGTCGCATTGACCCGAAGACATATTTTGAGTGGTATACACTGTTGGAAAGAGGAGATTCCGAGCTTTCTGATATCGGGATTGTTTTTGTACTATATTAAGCAAAATATGTCACATTATATAATGACTGTCACCGAGTCATCATTTTGAGAAAAAGGCCTTAAAGTTTCCTCTTCTCTGGATCGATCTGATTGATTATTAGCGGAGCAAATGATCAAAATAGTACGGAGAGAAGATATTTTCGTTTGGATTACTGGTCTGGGGGAAGCTCGCGAGTGTGTGTGTATACCAAGCGGCAGACTCTGGGGAACAGCCGGGACGCCAATACGGAAGTGCCACACACTGCAGTTCATACATAGGCCGCTAGGGACTGGCTGCAGAAAGGAGCAATTTCCATAGACCCCCCCATGTTAAAATGCCCAACTTTACAGCAGAAAAAAACATGTTTCTACCCATGGATGCAATAAATATTATTATCGATATAGTTAGATTCCACCTTCATGATTATGAATCTGTGAGTGAATTGTTTTCTAACACGACCCTTTTATTTATATTAGGTCTTAAAGTTTTTGCATAAATTAGGGCGTGGTCACTTTGATGGACACGTACATGCCTCACTGTCAGCTAACAGCAACTTGTCCACTCTGCTAGGCTACAACCATAGAGGCTACAACGTTAGTTAGTCATAGTACTGTACTTGTATTATGTTCATCCTGCAGATGGAAAACATCTATACAAACACACGCACACACACACGTAACGGGAACCTCTCTCTTTTTCGCGCTGTATGATAGATCATACCTTCTCACAGGTCCGCCTCCCTTACTGTGTCTCAAGCAGGTATATTTGTTCCTTGCTCACATTTGACTCATTGACACAATGAGCAGGCGATCGATTAGGCGATTTTCTGTACGAGGGGCTCTGGACACATTTTTGAACCAGATGAAGAGGAGATTGAACCAGATGAAGAGGAGATAGGGAATATTGTTACAAATACCAGACAATTAAAATGTCGTGCTGTGCGCTTGAATGTACTAACAGAACTTCCAAGAAGTCTAAAATGATAATATTATACATGTTAACCCCGTTCGCAGGTGTTTGTGTGCTTGGTAGCTTAGCTTGTTACTTATTAGCCAGCTAAGGACGTAACCCTTTATGCATACATATACATTTTAGTTTATGATTCAGCCTTGGGTAAGACTGTTATAGTCTATGGCTATGACGCCCATAATGCTAAACGGGAGCAAATGTTAATAGGGGACCCAATTATCCCAGTGGTGGCTAACGGAGCCGCAGGGGGCTAGCTCCAGCCGGCGTCCCGGAGCTAGCCCACTGCGGCTCCGTTAGGTCCGGGCGGTGGAGTCCGTCTTTTCTCAACGTGTGAAAGACAAGCATTAAGAATAACAAAATATAGCTAATTCTCTTGCAGATTGTCTCATTTGATTATGAATGTAACGTTTATATAGGGGAACTACACTGTTAGCAGTAACTTGGTATGCATGTATTTCATGTTAGCTTAGCTTCTTAGCCTGAGCTAGCTCTGTTTACTTCCAGTTCGGAGGCAGCAGGTCCCGCCTCGGCTCCGCCTCTTTGCCCTTATTGGAGCAGGCGGGATTAGACTCTGACGTCACAGTCGAGCCGTTAGTGGCCGACTCCGCCTACTAAGGGCTTCACGGCAACTCTGCAGAATCCTATGGGTGACGTCACGGACACTACGTCTATTTATATATACAGTCTATGGTGTATACGTGTGTGTGTTTGTGTATTTTTGCGTTTGTTTCCCGGGGAAAACCCTCACGAGAAACACCGGCTGTTGTTATGTCTGCTGTGACGTCAAGTTACTCCGTTCTCCTCTTGTAATTATGCCGTTACAAGATTCAAAGTTGTATTTATCATCTGAATTTGCCGAAACAAGTTTAATATTCTGAAAGCCAAGACTTTGTTTAATTGAAATCAGATGAAAACAAACTGTAACGGACCCTGCGGTGTTATCTATGATTACTATGCCTTACATTCATAATTGCAGCCGGAGGGAGGGGGAGCGGCGCTGTGGAAGAGCAGAGTGGCGAGTGAGAGGCGAGCTGTGTTCTTCCCTTTACAAGCTTCAAAAATGCCTGTAGCTAATGAGATTGAATATAACAATCAAAAATAAAAAAATATACACAGCTAGATCAGATCGCGTTTTAGATGCGACTTTAGAGTAGAGGGGAATTATTGAAACGGGATGTGTACAGTGTTCCGCGGCATCCGCTGCTGCGAAAATGTGGGGCAGGGCCGTAAAGTGGGGGGGCCAATGGCCCCCTGGCCCCCCCACTTCCGGCGCCCTTGATAAAAGTCAGAGCCACCTGCCGTCGGTGAAACCCCCTCCTTACTGCAGAACGTCTCATTATATGTGTTGTTGTTTTTTATCGCACATTGTCTGATTATATAATCATATGCGCCGTTGCTGTTGATATGCTCTCCAGATTAACAACAGCAAACATAACCTGCCGATGCTCCATGGCTCCGGTAGAAATGGCCGGGATTTGCGTTTTTACCCCCTTAATGTCTGACCAATGGTTGAACAGCATTT